TCTTTTTGAAGTAGGGTTCCTTCTGGATATATGCCCAGGAGCGGGATTCCTGGGTCATATAGTAAGTCTCTTCCTAGTCTTTTGAGGAATCTCCATACTGTTTTCCACAACGGCTGCACCAAACTGCATTCCCACCAGCAGTTCCCTTTTCTCCACAGCCTCTCCAGCATTTGTCATTTGTGGACTTTTGAATGATGGCCATTCTGACTGGTGTGAGGTGATATGTCATTGTAGTTTTGATTTGCATTTCTCTGATAGTGATATTAAACATTTTTTCATGTGTCTATTGATCATTCTTCCTTGGAGAATTGCTTGTTGAGGTCTTCTGCCCATTTTTGGATTGGTTGTTTTTTTTTCTTATTAAGTCGTATGAGCTGCTTATATATTCTGGAGATCAAGCCTTTGTCAGTTTCACCTTTTGCAAAAATTTTCTCCTATTCTGTAGGTTGTCATTTTGTTTTACTTATGGTTTCCTTTGCTGTGCAGAAGCTTGTAAGTTTCATTAGGTCCCATTTGTTTATTCTTGCTTTTATTTCTATTGTTTGGGTAGACTGTTCTAGGAGAACATTTTTGAGATGTATGTCAGATGATGTTTTGCCTATATTTTCTTCTAGGAGGTTTATCAAGTTTTTGATCCATTTTGAGTTTATTTTTGTGTATGGTGTAAGGGAGTGTTCTAGCTTAATTGATTTACATGCTGCTGTCCAGTTTTCCCAACACCATTTGCTGAGGAGACTGTCTTTATTCCATTGTATATCTTGCCTCCTTTGTCGAAGATTAGTTGACCAAAAATTTGTGGGTTCAAGAGGTTATTTTTCATTAGCTCAGATGTCTATTTTACAGTAGCACTATAAACAGACAATTCCAGACATTTCAAGTCCAATAGAGACTTCATTTGAAGCCATAATCGACCTATGAGATGAGTGAAAATTGAAGTGAAAAAATAAAACAGATGGTGGGAATGTACACACTTGGTGATTAGCAGAATGAATTCATAAGGTTGGTACCCTAGGACCCATGTTCTCAGTACTCCAAATGCTACTGAAGATCACTTTAGCAACATCCTGACACTAGTCTTAAACTTATCCTTGTTTATTAATTACTGAGTATGTCTGGCTGAAAATGCCACTGACCTTCTGTGGACCTAGGATTCCCTATCTATAGATCTGTTGACTGAAAAGAAAAAGAAAAAGTCACAACTTGAGAGTTACAAGTTAAGTTTTATTTTGGGTAAAATGAGAACTACAGCCCAGGAGATACTTCTGAGGCTCTAAGAAACTGCTCCCAAGATTTAGGGGTGGGAGGAGATCAGTACACACAATTCTAGTGAAGGGGATACCTGCAATTGAGCTACATTTTGGCAGAGGTTTGCTTGCTGCTATTCATGAGGAGGTATCTTCATTAATGTTTTTAGTATTTAACTAGATATGAGAAGATGCAAGAAATAGGGCTCATAAAATTTTTCTCCTTAAAATATCTATCTGAAGTCCTCTTCTGCCAGGTTTCCCAGGGCACAGAGTGCCTCATTCCTGATCTTCACCCTTAACTCTTTTCAGGGTGTGCTGGAGGTCACCAACTATAGTGGCTCAAGACTTCATTCTTACAGAACCAAATGGCAAGGGATCACAAGATTGGACTAAATGATTTGCAGCATTTCTTTTTAGCTCCATGGCTTTTTCATACTTCAGTTTCTCTTCATCTGTTCTTTCCAGGGCATAGACATTAATGTCACTAACTTCTGTACTGCATGATGACAAAGAATTCCCCAACCCAGAGGTGTTTGACCTTGGCCACTTCCTGGATGAGAGTGGCAACTTTAAGAAGAGTGATTACTTCATGGCTTTCTCAGCAGGTAACAAAAATCTATTTCCTTTAGTACTTCAAGTACTTCAGAGAACAAGATGCCATCTGGAGATCAGATAGGACTTACATAATTCTTACTCTGGGGCTGGTAGAAATGCTCTTTGTCCATGATGTGGAGCAACAGTCCCAATACACACACACTGTCTCTCCCCATGATACATCCTCATTATTGGGCTACATTACTCGACCTTGGAAAGATAACCCAGTTCTTTCAAATTCAGAAATAAAACTTAAGCTAGATAGTGAACATAAAAAAGAAGTGCATCTTATTAGCCCAAAAGAACCATGTGTTATAAAACTTGAAACTTCAGGGTATGTTGGAGATTGATGAAGAGCAGGTATACTTAGAGCAGAGAACTGAGGCTGTGAGGAATGGAAAGAAAGATGTTGAGACCATTAGACCAGGAACAGAAAATGTAATGACTATATGTGTGTTTCTAGAAAAAGATGATAGAAACTTGAAAATATGAAATTGCAGTATTAATGTAAGAATATTAATACAGTGCTTGGCATAGTGCTAATATTCAATAAATATTTGTTGAAAGAAGGATACCTATTTAGATGAGATGTTAGGTGCATAGCATGTATGTCAACCCTTTGTCCATGTGTCTATTCAATGATCCTGTCTTCCATTCAACCATTCATCAAATAGTTACTGCATCGTCTCTTTCTGACAGCCAGAAACACAGTGTTCAAGGAATATGTATTCTGTGTTTGTTATTTTCAGGAAAACGTATTTGTGTAGGAGAGAGCTTGGCCCGCATGGAGCTGTTTTTATTTCTGACCACAATTTTACAAAACTTTACCTTGAAATCTGTGGTTGACTCAAAGGACATTGACATCACCCCAGTTATCAGTGGGCTGGCTTCTGTGCCACCTCCTTACCAGCTCTGCTTCATTCCTGTGTGAGGGAAGGTAGATCATATGCCTTTTTCAGTGCTGTTGTTTTCAGCTCCCTCTCATGTGGGGTATTGTTCACTTTTTTCCAGTCAGTCTTTCCTGAATGCCTTCTCTGATCGATCCTCTTCTCATCATGCAGTTTCACCACAGAAATGTATCTGCTATTCTTCATACTCTGTAACATCTGTATTGGCCACCATGTATGCTAGCACTTCTCTAATACTGAGTAGTACTATATACATAGTACTACACACAGTACAAAATAGAACAGAATGAGTAGATTATGCCAATGTAAGCCATTTCCCCTGTGTATAATCTTAATAAAAATTATAATTTGATGAGCCATTCTCAGATTTTCCTTCTTTTGTGCATATTGCAATTAAGAAATAAAAGAAAAAATTAAAGAGGTCATGCTGGTAATGATATGCACAGAGAAGAATAAAGGGACCGAGAATAGAAAAGCTCCCTTGGATAAATGTCACCTAGAGTTACTTGAGGTTTAGATTTGAACATGAAGGAAATTGTTTCACCCTATAAGGAAATACTGAGGTCAGTGATAGGAGTTAAATTCAAAGTAAGCCAGAGAAACTCACAACTGAAAATCAGAACAGGAACCATTGAAATTGTATACAGGAAATCACTTGAAAAACAAAACAAACAAAACAAAACAAAACAAAGAAACCAAAGCAGATTCTTTGAAAAGTTCAATAGAATTGATAAGCCCTTAGCCAGGCTACCCCTCCAAGAGCAAGAAGACACAAATTACACAAGCTATAATTGAGAGGGGCCACTGCTTTGATGCCACAGACATTAAAAGGATAATAAAGGAATAGTATTAACAACTCTTGTCCACCAATTTGATAAGGAACTGCCCATTTCAATTAAGTACATAATCTTACAAGAAGGAGTAACATTAGTAACGTGGCATAATAGGAAGCTCTCAACTCTCCTTCCCTCGGTGGACACATTGATTCGAAGCAACACATGAACAATTTCATAGTCTAAAATCCAGAAACTAGTTGAAAGACTTCAGTACTCTTAGAGAATGTGAATCCAGCCACATCAAACGAGAAAGAAAAGCCGAGACATACTCTCCATGTAACTACCAACCCCAGCAAAGTGCCATCTTTGAGCAGAAACCCCCTAGTTCCCTCCTCCTGAGGAGCAAATGAGTTGTCATCCACCTCTAGCATTCCAAACTTTAATGACTTTTGGGGTGGTTTCATGAGGAACTGGCTTTTGTCTTACTTATTTTGGAGTACTGACAGAATTCGGCATACTTGAGGAACCTGGGGATGGCTAAAACAAAAGAGCAAGCTACACTAGCATGCGAGTTTGAGAGACCTTCCAAATCTTTGGATAAGCTGCTTGGTGGTATTCTTCTCCTGCAAGAGACTAGTTAGTGAAGACTATGAGAAGTGACTGTCTAATGTGCAGACAGTAATGCAGAATGTCAAGGAAAATGAAAACAGGATATTTATGATTTAACTGAAAGATATTTACAGTCATAAAGATCATCACTGGGGTTAGGTGAACAATTAAAAATGATGCAGGAATTTCAACAAAAAGGCATACAATTTAAATGTCTCAAACAGAAACAGAGCTAAAGAATACAGTATTTGAACTGAAAACTCATTATAGAGTGTTCAATAACAGACTAGATCAAGCAGAAGAAACAGTGAACTACAGTGAACTACAAGATAGGTCACTGGAAATTATTCAGTCAGCAGAGAAAAAGTAAGAAGGGAAAAAGAAAAAAGTTTAAGGGACATATGGAACACCAGGAAGATGACCAATATATATGCAGCATAGGAGTCCTAAAGGGAAGAGAGAGAGAAGACTAGAAAGCTTATTCAAAGTAACAAAGGAGGAAAACTTCCCAAATCTGGGGAAGGAAGTGGACATAAAAATCATGACATATGAAGAACCTCAAATAATAGAAAAAAAAACCCTCATACTGACACATACTATAAACAGGTTGCCAAAGTTCAATGATGAGAGAGTTTTGAAAGCAGCGAGAGAAAGAAATTTGTCACTTAAAATGGAAACCCCTAAATACTATCCACAGATTTTTAAGCAGAAACTTTGCAGAAGAGAATGAGAAAATACACTCAAAAGTTCTTGAACAAAAGAACCAACCTAGAACCTATACTCATCAAAACCTTCTTTCAAAAATGAAGGAGGTAAAATCTCCCCACACAAACAAAACAAAATATTCTTCATCACTTGTACTGCCTTACACGAAATGTTAAAGGGACTTCAACCTGAAATAAAATCACCATAAACAGCAACATGATAGTATGAGAAGGAACAAAACCCTTTTGTAAAGGTAAATATATAGAAAACTACAGAATACTGTATTATGTGATGGTGGTACAAAATGGCATTTCTAGTATAAAAGATAAACAACAAAGTATTAACATTAAGTATAAGTAAAAATACGTTAACAGATACACAATGTAAATATATGTAAATTGTGACATTAATCACATAAACTGGGGGGTATTTAAAGTGTAGAAATTTGTATGTGATTGAAGTTATTAGCTCAAAATAGACTGTTATAAGATATTTTACTTAAGTCCTATAGTATATAGTAACCACAAAAAAACTTCTAGGTGTTATGTATAAAGGAAAAAAATAGAGGAATCAAAATATACAAAAAAGAAGGAAAAACAAAGAAGACAATAGGATAGGAAAATAGGAACAAATATCTATAAGACAAACATAAAATAATGAACAAAATCACAATAGTCAGTCAGTTCCTATCAATAGTTACTTTAAATGTGAACAGATTAAACTCACCAAAGACTTACAATCACTGAATGGATTTAAAAAATAATAACCAACTCTGTGCTCTCTAAAAGAATCTCATTTCAGATTTAAGGACACATACAGGCTGAAAGCATATAGATGGAAAAAGGTACCCTAAGCAAATGGTAGTTGCAAGAGAGGGATCACTATAATTAGGCAAAGTAGACTTTAAGTCAAAAATTGTTACAAGAGACAGGAGGAATGTGATACATTCATAAAGGGATCAATCCACCATGAATATATAATAACTATAAATATATATATATATACACAATGCCAAAGCACAAAATATATAAAATAAACAGACAAAATGGTCAATTAATCTTTGACACAGGAATCAAGAATATACAACGGAGAAAAGACAGCCTCTTGATCAAGTGATGCTGGGAAAGCTGGACAACCACATGTAAATCAGTGAACTTAAAACACTCCAGAAGACCATATACGGGAATAAATTCAAAATGGCTTAAAAGAGTTAAACATAAGACAAGACTTTATAAAACTCCTAGAAGAAAACATAGGCAAAACTTTGTGATATAAATCTCAGCAGTGTTCTCCTAGGGCAATCTACACAGGGAATAGAAATAAAAGCAAAAATAAACAAATAGGGCCTTATGAAATTTATAAGCTTTTACACAGCAAAGAAAACTAGAAACAAAAAGATAACCTATAGAATAGGAGAAAATATTTGCAAATGATGCAACTAACAAGGGCTTAATTTCTATAATATACAAACAGCTCATAAAACTCAGTAAAAAAAAAAAAACCCAATCAAAAAGTGGGCAGAAGATCTAAACAAACATCTCTCCAATGAAGATATAAATGGCCAATAAGCACGTGAAAATATGCTCAATATCGCTAATTATCAGAGAAATGCAAATCAAAACTACAATGAGGTATTACCCTACAGCAGTCAGAATGGCTATCATTAAAAAGCCCACAAGCAATAAATGCTGGAGAGGGTGTGGAGAAAAGGGAATGTGGTAGCAATGTAGTTTGGTGCAGCCATTAAAAAAAAACCAGAATGTAGATTTCTGAAAAAGTGAGTAACAGACTTACTATACGATCCAGCAATCCCACTCCTGTTCGTATAATCACAGAAAACTCTAATTTGAAAAGATACATGCACTCCAATGTTCATAGCAGCACTATTTACAATAGCCAAGACACAGAAGCAACATAAATATCCATCAACAGATGACTAGATAAAGAGGTTGTGGCATAGGTATACAACAGAATACTACTCAGCTATAAAAAAGAATGAAATAATGCCATTTGCAGCAACATGGATGGACCTGGAGATTGTATTACTAAGTGAAGTAATCCAGAAAGAGAAAGAAAAATATACCACATGATATCACTTATATGTGGAATCTTAAAAATGGGCACCAATGAACATATTCATAAAACAGAAAGACTCACAGACATAGAAAACAAACTTATGGTTTCCAAGGGGCAAAGAGGGTGGTGGTAGAGGGATAAATTGGGAGTTCCAGATTTGCAGATACTAACTACTATATATAAAATAGGTAAACAACAAGGTCTTACTGTATGTCAACGGTAACTACATTCAATACCTTGTAATATCTTCTAATGAAAATTCAATACTTTGTAATAGCTTATGATGAAAAAGGAATGTATATAATGAAATATCCCTTTTCATATACTAAGTGAATCATGCTGCTGTATATCAGAACCTAACACAATATTGTAAACTGACTATACTTCAATTAAAAAATAAAAAGAAGAGAGAACACTTTCAAATTCACTTTATGAAGCCAGCAATTCTGTGATACCAAAGGCAGACAGAGACACCACAAGAAAGAAAAGTTCAGATCAATACTCCTTATGATGACATATGCAAAAATCCTCAGTAAAATACTAGCATAACAAACTCAGCGGCACATTAGAAGTATCATACGTCATGGCTACATGGCATTTATCCCTCTGATGCAGGGATGGTTCAACATGTAAAATTCAAACAATGTGATACACTACATTAGAACAACGAAGCATAAAAATCACATGATCATCTGAATAGCTGTAGAAAAAGCATCTGATCACATTCAACACCCTTTCATTATAAAAACACTCAACAAACCAGGAATAATAAAGGCTATATGAAAACTGAGAGATAACATCATAGTGGTGAAAAGCTGAATGCTCTCTAAGAACAGGATCAAGGAAGGATCACACAGCTGATGTCCAACATCACACTAGAAGTCCTTGCTAAGAAAGTAGGCAATAAAAGGAAGTAAAAGGCATTCAAATCAGAAGGAAGAACTAAAATTATATCTGTTCAGAGATGGCATGGCATTATACACAAAAAATAAAGATTCTACACCTAAAAACCCATTAGAACTAATAAGTAAATTAATTTAGTAAATTTTCAGGACATAAAGTCAGCATGCAAAAATCAGTTGCATTTCTATGCACTAACAATA